TTATGTAAAAGCTTTTCCCATCCACACTTTCTTGTCTTTAATTTTAATCCTTTTTAGGTGAAAGTGCTTTCTTGGATTATCAGTTTCTACTTACGTGGTTTTATAATTCACTACTGTTAATCCAGCTTCTTCATCACCTGTGGATTAGATAACTGCAAGCCACTTTTGGGCTTCCCAAAGGCTCAGCAGGTAGAGAATCCACCTGCAATGCAGGAAACACAGGAGACGTGGGTTTGATCCATGGGCTGGGAAGATCCCCTGGAGGAGGAAACGGTAGCCCATTCCAATATTCTTGCCTGGAAAACACAGTGGACAGAGGAGCCTGAAGGGCCATAGGCCATGGTGTTGCAAAGAGTTGGATTCGACTGAGCGTGCACACACAGACACACCACTTTTATGCTTTCTTGTTTTGGGAGGATTCTTAGGATATACAGGAAACTATCACGGCATTTCAGCACATCTATTCTATCCTTAGGAGATGAAAAAAGTAATCAAGAATAGTGCTTCTTTTTAGAAAATTCTTTAAAAAATAGACCCATTGTGCCTTGATTCCTGCCACTCCACTTCTCTGGGGCCAAAGGGAGGGCCTTAAATTTGCTTTTGCTTTTGCTTTTGAGTGAAATTAGCACCATGAAATGAGTCATAACCTAGTATATATAAGTTAAAGAGCATGGATTGCAAAATCTAAAAGACCAAAGTTAAAGCCCGCTTGGCCTTCTGCTAGTGGTTTGATTTGGGAGAAGTCAATCTCTGATAGTCTTATTTTAGTTACCTATAAGATGGGGCTAGATTTACCCTGGAGGAGGGCATGGCAACCCACTCCAGTATTCTTGCCTAGAGAATCCCACGGATGGAGGAGCCTGGTGGGCTACAGTCCATAGGCTTGCAAAGAGTCAGGCATGACTGAAGTGTCTTAGCACTAAAGTGGGGCTAATATTGCCTGTCAAGGCTATTATTGGGATTCCCTGTTACAGAGAGGACTTAGCTTGGCCCACAGTAAGGCCTTAGTAAATACAGCCATTTTATTTTATATTCCCTCTTAAGCTCTTTGGCTACTGGTACCCCAGACTTTGAGCTGTGTTCAAGGACTGAATCTCTAGATTCAGCAATTCAAATATATTGTATAAACAATAATATAAATAATAATTTTATAACAATAACTCTTCAAGCAAAATTAGTAATCCTGTACTGCTCACCTTCTGCCTTTTCTCTTTCTTCTAGTTAAGACTATTTTAGTCATATATGCACATTTCTTCCATAGTGGCTATTACATTTGCCCCCGTCTGAATTTTCTAGGCCTTTTATTTCTACCTCCCGGGAGATTTCTTCTTGTGCCCACATTTGATCTCATGAGAAACCACCCTCAAAGGGTTCTGGCTGAGTGCTGCTCTCAAGAGCTTATGAGAACCAGTATCTTCCTTCTGCCTTTGCCCTCTGTGTTTCTGGTTGTCATTTGTTTAGGCGTCAGCAACTAGAGAGGGCCCCCTTAGGATTCACAGTGGGGCTCTACTAGATTCTTGTGTGTGTCTGTATTATTGATGCTTTTCATGGCCCTTGTGACCCTGAAGGCACAGGACATTCCTCACCAGTGATGCGTTTCCTCATCATAGCTCTAAATGCACTTGTGTCCTCTCCACGCTGGTATCAAAATGTCAGTTGGCTTTTAGAGTGCCAGCTCAAGGAGGTGGTCTTCTCTGTCTCTGTAATGTGAAGAGATGATGACACTGTTGAATCTGAGGTTCGTCTTCCCTTTTTCTCCATCACAGCTTTGACTAAAAGGTCAAAATCTGCTTTGCCAGCTGGTCTCATTCCCCCCTAATTTTCTGATACCACTTTCCAAATCCTGAGCCACATTTCTCTTTGCATATGAATTCTTATTTACTGGCTGGTTTTATCACAGTCTGTGAGTAAGTATGATCCTTCAAAATCAAACCATTCCAGATGGTCTTTTCAGCAAATAGGGCAATTCATGTACAAACAAAATGAACCTTTCACCTTACTTCACACTCACTATTCACGAAAATTAACTCCAGGAGCACCATAGGCATAAATGTTAGTTCCAAGACTACCATCAAGAAAATGAAAAGACAAGGCACAGAATGGAAGAAAAGATTTGTGAAGCAGATATCTGATAAAGGACTTGTATTCAAGTTATATAAAGAACTCTTGCAACTTAATAAGAAAACAACTCACTTTTAAAAATGTCTAAAAAATTAAGCTTATCATATGACTCAGTAATTCCAATCCTAGATATTTATGCAAGAGGAATGAAACATATGTCCACACAAAGACTTGTATGTGAATGATCACAGAAGCATTGTTTATCAAAGCCCCACACTGTAAACAATTAAAATGTTTATCAACTGGTGAGTGGATAAACAAAATGTAATATAGTCAAACCATGCAAATCTACCCAGCAGTAAAATGAGCCAGCTACTGATACAGTTAACAGCAAGGAGGAACCTCAAAAAACAAACAAAAGAAAACATTACTAGTGAAAGAAGCTAGACACAAAGGACTGTTTATTATAGAATCCTGTTTACATGAAGTTTCTAGAAAAGGCAGCTGTAGATGTTTAAGACAGATCAGTGGTCATCTCGGGGCAGGAGCGGAGACTGACTGCATTTGGGCATCGGGGAGAAAGGGACTTTTCAGGGAGAGGTGATGGAGGTGTTCTAGAACTGGATCGTGGTGTTGGTCGCACAGTTGTATTAAGCTCAGGGCCATTTGATTCCGTGTCCTAAGACATGTGTCGGCCCACACAGAGTGTCCCAGTGCTCTGGGGACTGACTCGAGGCTTGCTCGGCTCTTAAGACTCTGTTGGTGCAGGAGGCGTCCCCGAGCTCTTACGTGATTCCTTGAGCTAAACGAGGAAGACCCACGAAGCCAATTTTAATATTTTGTCTCTGAGAGCCCTAACACCTTGGACCTGAGCTTTCCTGTGTCCTTCATCCTTACCTGAATTCCTCTTCCCCCATTGGAGATGGATCTGGGAGAAGCCTGATGTCAGAGTGAGGTTAGGCAGGATGGTGAACCAGATGGTGATAGGTATCTCACCTGTTTCCCTCTCCTTCCCCCAACTTTTTTTTTTTTTAATAGAAATTGGTTTTCACTGAAGCTTCAGGCAATTTCAGTGCCTTAAATATTCTTTCTTGACATAATGTTTTTAGAAAGCTGAGTGTCAGGAAGGCCCATTTTTAATTTATCAATGGCACCCTTAGTCTTAATATGCTGAAGCATACTTTACTTTTGAGGGCAGAATTAATCTTTCATCAGAGGTACCATGGATGCTGTTGGTTTGATTATTTTAGGAAAATGTTCTTGTGCTGTTTCAGAATTAATGCTACCCACATAACTTTATTTTCCAATATCTGTTCAGAATAGATAAGGGAGATACAAAGTAAGAGTCACCCATATTAAAGTTAATGCAAAGTAGATGTAAGCCACTGCTGTTTGAAAAACTAACACTGGTGTTTAACTTGTTGATTTCATCTTGACTGTGAGGAAAGTGAATCTGAAATTAACCCTGTGACAGAGAATATCTGGACCTTCTTTTATATGCCACAACTTTGTAGAACGGTGGAGAAAATGTTAGCACAATTATAAGAAGATAATTTTATACATGGAAAACTTTTGGAGGCTGGAGGAGACAAAAAAGGAATTTCAGTCTGCCCTTGGTTTAAAGCAGGGCCATGCAGAAATGCCAAAAGCTGTCAACGTAACTTCTTTGCAGCTCTGGGGCCTCAGGTTTTCACATCCCTAAGAATCACCTAGGGGCTTGTTAAAAATACAGATTCTTGGGTTACCCTCTTTTGACTCTGAGGTTTTAATAAATTCCTCAGGGGATTCTAATATGTATCACATTAGTTAGGGTTCTTCAGAGCATCAGAATTAGTATGAGTGTGTGTGTGTGTGTAAAAGAGATTGTTGTAAGGAATTGGTTCCTGTCACTCTGAAGGCTGAGAAACCCCCACACCGGCGCTCTGGAAACCACAGAGAGCAGATGGTGTAGTTCTCGGCCGAGTCTAAACGCACAGGACCCAGGAGAGCCGATGATGTAACTCCAGTCCAAAGCCGAGTCTGAAGGTGGGAAACTGCTGTCTGAATGTGAAGGTAGGCAGAGAATGGGAGGAGGAGGGAGAGAGCGAGAGGGCAGATTCTCCTTTCTCCCCCTTTTTGTTCCGTTCCTTCAGCAGACTGGCTGTGACTAGGGTGAGTGGTCACCTTGGGGAGGCAATCTGCTTTGTTCAGTCTGCTGTTTCGAATGTTAACCTCACCCAGAAACCTTCACGAATAGTTTTTAATTACATATTTGAGCATCTCATGGTGTAGTCAAGATGACACATAAATTTAACCATCATATCATCCAAATCTGAGAAGTTTGAAGCAGTGAGGGGCAGAACCAGATTTCTTAGAGGAAACGCTTGTAGGGAGAAACCTTATAAAGAGACTGTTGTTGCTCTTTAGGAAACAATTGTACGGTTTCAGTTATCAAATATGTTGGAACTGAGCAAATCCATGGTGACAGAAAGCTGCCAGGATTTGGGGGCAGAGGTTGGACTTGGGGAATGGCTGATGATGGGCATGGCGCTTCTTTTTGGGGTGAGAAGCGTGTTCTGGAGTTAGATGTTGGTGATGGTGGCACGACTTGTGAATCTGCTGAAAACCATCGGACTTCCCTTTGAAACGGTGAATTTCATAGTATGTGAACTAAATGTCAAAATATATGCATATCTATTGAGGGAGATATGAAAAAGTGGAGGTAGATAGTGTTGACGTCTCTGAGACATGAACAAGTAAACAAACATGGGGTGATAGAAGGGAATGTGGGGTTGAGGGCGGATTTACAAAGCACAGGACATCTTTCAGCATGTCTATACATGGATTCAAACGGTCCACTGGAAGAGGAAACGTTAATGATGCAAGGGAAGGGAAGGGACTTGGCAGTGGTCAAAGCCTGCAGCGCCGTCCTGACTCACCTTCCCGCCGGCTCTCCTCAGGTGACGGACCAGTCGGTGAAAGCGTTTGCGGAGCACTGTCCTGAGCTGCAGTACGTTGGCTTCATGGGCTGTTCAGTGACTTCTAAAGGAGTCATCCATCTAACCAAGGTAGGTTCCACGGCTTCATCTCCTTGTGCTTCCGAGCTGCGTTCATACCAATGCCCTCGCGAAGTTCTGCATACTTGAATGAGGACTGCTCAGGCCATTGTAGAAGTGTAAGTGGTGTTTGGTGAAATTAACATCAGTTTAAGTCAATGCAAAATCTATCCTTTCTAAAATGGGACATTCATTTAAACAAAAAGTTTGCTTTTTGGCTTTTTTCATTTGCTAATAACTGTGAAATGTATACATCAATGAAACTGATATATGTGACAAGACTTATTTAGATTTTAATGTAGTGTATTGTGTTAGAAGATACTTTAGTGAAAGTTTTCACTGGTCACATATCATTAGATCTTCTGAGCATTTTGCTTTTAAGAAGTGAATATGGTCAGTTCATATGATTAAGTTGAACATATATGGTGAAAAGAGAAGTGAATGTATGCCAAAAATTAACTTCATAGTTTAGAGAGTTTACTTACATACCAAATATATGAAATCTCATATGTTAGCAATAATGAAAACATCAGTTCCTTTGTAATCTCTCACTTGTCACCCATCATCTGTGCTGTTTTTCAGAGCTCTGTAATAATTAAGAACTAATTCATACATACATGTGTTAGAAAACTGGCTACTATAAAATTTACTTGTGTCTTATTCAAAATTTGTCGTGTCTCTTCAAGCTTACAGTTTAGCGGGAAATAGTTTTTCTTTCCTCCTAGCGAAAGTGAAAGTCACTCAGTCATGTCTGACTCTTTGCAACCCCATGGACTATACAGTCCATGGAATTCTCCAGGCCAGAATACTGGAGTGGGTAGCCTTTCCCTTCTCCAGGGGATCTTCCCGACCCAGGAATTGAACCGGGGTCTCCTGCATTGCAGGCGGGTTCTTTACCAATTGAGCTATCGGGGAAGCCCTCTTTCCTCCTAGGAAAAGAGCAAATGTTTATAAATTACCTAGGACTGTGGCCGTAAGGCCCAGAGGATGGGAACCCAGGCTCTGTTGTCAGCTTGGGTTTGAATCCTGGCTCTGCCATTAACCAGCTGAGTAAACAAATTGTTTTTCAGGGAATTAATTGAAGTAGTATATGGAAGATGCTTTCCTCAGTATCAGGACCATAGTAAGTGCTAGGTAAACTTTAGGTACTATTATTAAAATAAGTGTGGCTCAGATGGTAAAGAATGTGCCTACAGTGCAGGAGACCCAGGTTTGATATCTGGGCTGGGAAGATCCCTGGAGTAGGAAATGGCAGCCCACTCCAGTGTCCTCACCTGGAGATCACATGGACAGAGGAGCCTGGCCGGCTGCAGCCTGTGAGGTGGCGCAGAGTGGAACAGAGCTGAGCAGTCACGCGTCCACTCTCCTTGAGGGAATTGGTGCACGCGTGCGTGCTCAGTCGTGCCTGAGCATGGCCGCCCAGTGCCCTGTGGCCCGCCAGGCTCCCCTGTCCATGGGGTTCTCCAGGCCAGCATACCGAGGGGGTGGCCGTGTCCTCCTCCAGGGGGTCTTCCCGACCCAGGGGTCGGTGTGCGTAACTAGTGTCTCCTGCACTGGTAGGAGGGTTCTTTCCCACTAGCGCCACCCGGGGAGTCCAGAGAAGGGCTGCCACACTAAATTGCTAGAAATTTAGAGCGAACTTTGAGGAAAAAAAAAATCAAATCACTGTTTTATTCTAGTGTATTTGAAACAGTGCCTGTGATTATTCTTTGTCTCCCATGACTGATGAGCTTTAACTAGGATCAGAACCTGAAACTAGCAGAGAGGATAGGCACATTATTCTCTATTATTGCTCTCTCAGAACATCTTCGTGTAACCAAGACTGTGTGTGACCATAATTTTTTATTCATCTTCTATAACCTTTGCCTGAACGTTTTCGTAGATGAATGTTTTTCCCGTCACATCATCTGCTGCTGTTCCTAGTGCAGAGGAGAAATGCCTTTGGATGAGCAGATTGTGCACAAGTGTTACAATGACCATATGTGGGCTTTTTACGATCACTTGACATTGTACTCATTAAAGACAAAACAAGACTTATTAGATCAGTTAGTGCTTCCCTGAACATTTGGAGATGGCCAAAAATTATGGTACACTGGTGCTTAAAAGATCAGAATTATTCTCTGTGACAAAATAGCAGTGACAGCAAATGTCAGCTTTGGAAGGCTTAATTTGCTGAGAAGATTATTCTGAAGATTATATACCAGGATTGAGGGTTTGGCCCGTCAGCAGTCAGAATCTACTGGGTTCATGTCAGAGCCGATCCACAGCATGTTAGGCCCATCCCTGTTGCCCAGCACAGTGCATGTTTTGGTGAGAAGACCACTCTGTGGTATGATATTGCTTCGATTCATGGAGTCAGGTAAAGGCAAGATAGCCTTTTAAATGTACATTACTTTGGCTAAGCTAGTTTAGTTGTTTCAGCTTTTGAAAACCAAGGGTAGAACTCAAAGCTTCTTGTTAAAATATTGCATTCTGACAGTGGTTTTATACTAAGACATTATATAAAATGTAATTTACATTCACAAAATGCTTGTAAATATATAAATGTTCCTAGAAAGTTGTGTTACCCTTATTGTCCTCATGGTGTATAGTTTTAAATAATTTTTTCTCAATATTTAATGTAATTTTTAAGTAAATGATTAGAGGATGTGAGGCACGGAGTGTTGAGCTATCAGTATAAATATATTTAACTTTATATGATTTAGAAAATCTCTCCAACTTACTACTTTCCAGTCTGTGGCTCTAAATTTGCTAATAGAGGCAAATGCCATAAAATCTCTGTGCCTTAGTTTCCTCCTGTGAAGAGATCTGTCTGTCCTCTATGTAATAGAGGATCTATCTCTAGAGTTTCCTACAGCCAGACAAATGTCTGAATTTAAGAGTCATTGGCCTGGAAGGGACTGAGTGGCTGTCCTTGAATGCAAGGAATGTCAAGTCCTTACTAAGTTAGAAGGGAAAATTGGGAATTTGTGACATCTTAGATTGTCAAATCAAGGGCAGGAAGACAGAAGATTGGGAACAAGAGAAAGAATATTGATATTCTATTACTGTGGTCTCGTGGACTTAGTTTTACTTTGGTGCTCTCAGTCTTGTCTGAACTCTGTTTACTGATGACACACCCTTAGTCTTCAGATAGATTCTGCTAATATCAAACAATAATGGAGTGAGGAGGCCGTCCTTCTCAGCTGCTATGACTGTGTAAATGAGAGTCTGGAAATGGCTAACAGCGAACGCACACAGGTTGGGAAGATGAAGTCAGCTTTCCCGGAGCGGGTTCGGAAGTGAGGATGCGAACTTCTGAGGTCTCTGTTTTGCCTCCGGAGTTGAGAACGTTAATGACGTGCAGCGTCCGGCCTAGTCGCGTCTCCTGCAACCCGGGACGTGGCTCGGGTGACGGAAGCATTCCCAGCCCCTCGCACAGGGAGGACAGCCCAGACAGGGCCCAGCGGGCGGCCTGAGTGGACGCGGAGCCGGAAGCCCCGGAGGCCGGGGTGGCCGGGCGCGGTGCGCGCCCTCCCCCGCGCGTCCCGTCCTGGGTGGCCCGCGAGTGAGGCGGTCACAGGAGAAGCGAGGGGAGGGAAGACGCAGCGCGCCAGGTTTAGTGGGGTGCTGCTAAAGGGCTCGCTTTGATGGCACCAAACACCTACACACGAAGAAAGAAAGGTCTTGGGTCAACGGCCTTAGCTTCTGCCTTATGAAACTTGAAAAGAGAAGAGTGAATTAACCTCAAAGTAAGCAGAGGGAAGGAAATAATAAACGTCACCGCGGATATTAGTGAAATGGAAGACAAAAAGAAACATTGAAGAAAGCACAAAGCTGGCTCTTTGATAAAGTAGACAGACCTGTATTCAGACTAATGCAAAGAGAGAAAGAGATGGCCAGCGCCATGCCTCGGAGGAGGAGTATGGCTGCGGGTTCTCCAGACGTTAAAGGGCGACGGGGCACCACGAGCGTCCCCGTGCCTCTGAATGCAACAAGTCAGCCGAAAGGGAAAACTTCCTTGAAGGTTGAGAATTTCTGAAGCTCGCTCAAGAAGAAGTGTTCGGCAGAGAACCTGGACACCTCTGTTCCTAAAGAAATGAAGTTGTGTTTAAAAGCCCGCCTCCAGTGATGCTCCCTGCCCAGCGCGCTTCACTGGGGAGCGCTCCTCACCGTTCGCTGCATCCCGAGACCTTTGGCGCCTCCCTGGCGGCTCAGGTGAGGAGCCTGCCTGCGGTGCGGGAGACCCGGGTTCCACCCCTGGGAAGGGCCTCTGCGGAAGGGGATGACTGCTCACTCCAGTATTCTAGCCTGGAGAAGTCCATGGACGGAGGAGCGAGGTACATACTTGAGCTATTTACTATTGGAATGATAGAGCATTAGGAGTTTGTATTAAAATATCCTAGCGGATGAAAAAATAGAAAAGTGGATAGGCCAGTAAAAGAAACAAAAATGGCAAAATATAGATGATTGAGCTGGGTTATAGGACAAGAGGGTTCATTATGTTATTCTCATTACTTTTGTTTATCCTTGAAAACTTCCGTAATAATGAAGCTTTTAAGAGGTTAAAATTGATATTAATATAACATGATAACTCATATTATTCAGTCACATACTTTTTAAGAACTCACAGTAACGTGGAAAAAGCTCAGGATGATAATGAATACTCAAGTGCATTATATATAATATTAATTTAAAATCATTTGAACAAATAAGCCAATGGAGTCTGAAATATCAAGGTGGCCTGTTATATAGTACATGTAATTGTAGTTGGTGTGCAGACTTGAGGTCTGCTCTGAGTTCATGAGTTTCATGGCACTGATCCATTGTGAATTGACTTGTCAGTTTGAATGATCTCAACCAATAGTCAGGAAGATGCTATTTTATTCATAAATGACTAAATACTCATTTAATGACTAGTCAAGAAATGACTGTTAAAAAGATGAACAATTTTTGAAAAAACTGCAGTTTTGTTATATGCTATATAAAATTTATATTTGTCATACCTTAGGGGTAGATGTTTTTCCTTTTTA